CCATTGGTGCTTTTACAGTAATATGGAACTCAACTCCTCCGAACTTTCTATTTGCAAGCAGACATTCCTCCAGAGCAATTTGTGAAAAAGACACTAGGTAGAAAGCCAATTCTACCTGAGAATATCGAAAAAGAGCTGCTGGAATATATATTGTTGATGGATGTCATATTTCTCTATTATAAAAGCATTTTTTGCGATAAAATACATTGGAGTAAATAATTTGGTAATTATTTAAAATTTTTTGTACTTTCCTATTGATTTTTGGCTACATTATAGCATTTTTTTGAAAATATACAGTGAGGTTCCATATTACCACCCGATTTTCCCTAAGCGTACTTTCGGACTTTTTGTACAAAAGCCTACAAAAACCATACTTATAATTACACTAGCGAAAAATCAAATTAGGAACATTTAGCTTAATAGTTACCAGTACTTTTCGCACAAAAAATGTGGGAGTAGTTATGATACCTTGTTTACAATTCACTAAAATGTAATTGGGGTTCCATAATACCACCTTCTCCTCTATATATATAAAAAAGAATGCAAACATGTTTTCATTTATTATCTGTTTGATTTTTTTGTAATCAACCAGATAATAAATGAAAACATCCTAAACCAATGTAAAAGCAATATAAAAGCATAATGTTTATTTTCTTATTCTTTACACATATCACAAATAAATTGAACATACTTATTTTCTACATCCGTACAGTTCATATGAGCCCAGAGTTTACATTTACAGCATAACCTCCTGAATAATGTAATATTTTTCATTGCAATATATATAATAAGTATTTTTACCGTCATTTTCCGGTTCTATAGGACTTTTCTGCCTCTTTCTTTTAGTTTACTTCGAATCCGCATTCTCTAAAACTGTTCCGATCTGCAAGTTCTGAATTTTTTATTTTTATCCTTTGCTTCTAATGTGGCTTTATGTTGCCGATCTTACCCCGCTAGTCATGATTTCGAAACATTAAGTACAACCCTGAGAACAGAATGCCAAGCCATGATCTGGCCACGTGAATAAGTTGAAGTTACATCCTTCTAACAGGAAAAGTAACTTTCGTTATCATGGAATTATAACAAAACATGCCAATTCAATATAAATGGAAGCAAAATATTATATGGAATTGAACGAAAATAAAAATTTGCTTGATAATTCAACTACGCTTGTTGGAGAACAATAAAAACACTACACTCAACAAGCCACCAATAAAACTCAACTGCCTAACCTATAACCAAAGTCTCCTTTTAATTTGTTTTTAAAAAAATGCGCTTGACAAACTTGCCCCGTATGCCGAAGTTGCCCCGGTCTCCCCTATAATATTTAATGGAGCACTAATGTTTAAATTTTCTTATTAAGTTCGGACATGGCCTATAAAATGAGCCAAAAACGTTAGCTTTTAATAACACTATCTGGGCAAAAAGAAAGGTGTGTTGTGATAAGCTAATTCTTTGCTGAGCACATTCTGTTTAATCAATGCTGCTGATAATTTAGCAATTGTTAAATTAGTACGAATTAAATGAAACTTGAAATGTCTGTTTAATTAAAATAAATAACGTAACTATTTTTGAATATACAGACAAAATACAAAATTAATTTTCTCCAAAATATTTCAAAATGCTTCATTACAGAAAAAAATTATTTCATTTTTAGATTAAAAATATAAAAGAAAATTAAATGTTTTAGCAATTATAATCGATATTTTAGAATTTCTATATCACTGCTATATAATCTGCAAACTGATATAAGTTGATTGCCTCTTTTCATAGTAATGAATATTTGAAATTAATATTTAAAATCTTTGCCAGTAGAAAACACAGAGCTTTAATATTATAACTGATTAATTTATTGATTTTAATCTTCAATTCGAAAAGCTTCTAGTAGAAACTTAATAAACCAAAAAATAGAAACTAAAATATTGTTTACAATGAATTATATAAGCAGAATAAGCTCAATACGAGTTTTGAGTACTGCACGAAAATCACGAATACTATAACTAAGTGAAATTATCTATATATTTATCTTATACATTAGAAGATCATATTAATTACTTTCNTGAAAGTAATGAAAATTTGAAATTAATACTTAAAATCAATTTTATTTACCAGTAGAAAACACAGAGATTTAATATTATAACTGATTAATTTATTGATTTTAATCTTCAATTCAAAAAGCTTTCAGTAAAAACTTAATAAACCAAAAATAGAAACTAAAATATTTTTTACAATGAACTATATAAGCAGAATAAGCTCATTACGAGTTTTGAGTACTGCACTGCAATCACAAAAACTAAGTAGGTAAGTGAAATTATCTATATACTAGGCCCAGCGTTGCTCGGGCAAAAGTAACGATAGCGAAGATTAAGATTATTATGTTATAGTCAAGCTTACTTGTTTTCACAGAATAAAAGAATTTGGTCCTCCTCTTTCTGGACTAATTAGAGAATTTTTAGATGGGTCTAAAAATATGTTAGATTTCGATCAAAAACGAAACAAACTGCATTTGCGTCTTGCACGTCGCTTTCTCTTAACAATTCACTTGTTACGCAACACTTTTATTATTAACACGTCCATTGTTACTTAACACTTCCATTGTTGATGGAAGTGTTAAGTCTTAATCCTGTCCCTCTCCCCCGTAGAAAATAATTTCGAAAAATCCTTTCTTTGTGTGCATTCTTTTGACTTACCTTAATTGTATACCAAATTTCAACTTTCAACTCCTAACCGTTTGGGCTCTGCGCTTATTATTATTATTATCAACTCATCTCGATTATATATATAGATTTATCCTATACATTACGGAATTATATTAATTATTTTCGTATTATAAACTAGATGAATTGATGTTAATATGTTTTAATATTTTATTAAATTTGTTGATTTATACACTGAAGACGGAGCCGAGATATGACTACGAAATTGCCGTTTGTGCTGTTTTTTCTTGCGAACCATTTGTTTACTCACGAATCTTTCGCTGGTAAGTTATATATTTTACAATAGAAATAGACGATCAAAGCTAATTACAAACAGTTTTGTAATATATTGATTGTATTGATTTATATTGATTTATAATAGGAAAGTATAATAGTAATCTTTTGTTGTTTTATGAATTGCAGTAATTATTAGATAATGTAATTTAAAAATTTAATTAATACGAACTTCGCGAATGTCGCGATTAATTGAAACCTGTTTGAAGGATAAACATTTTTAAAATTAAATGTCAATGATATCAAAACATATGAACTGATAGTGAGTTAATTATAAATATATTTAAATTTGACTGTGACTCTAATCAACTAGTAGAATTATGTGAACAAATTATTTTAATAATTTAAAATTGACCACAAAATTTAATATCTCAGCAAAAAGTTGCTTAACTTTTCCGGCAACATTTAGTTGCGGTATCCGTTATCACATTTTATTCTAAAAAGTTTTGTTTTAAATTATTGTAAAACTTTAAACATTTATAGTTTACATATAAGTGACTTGTTTATGAAAAACTGTAAGTGCTAATAACGAGTAAAATCGACATTAACTCTGACTGTACTCGAGATACACACGACCTGTTTTATAGCTTAACTTCGTAACATTAATTTATTAATATTTAATATTATAAATTTTCACAAATAGAAAATCCTATATGCGATATTTCAGATTATTTCGATAAATGGCATAGGAGTTGTTAAGCTTCAAACAGGATAAACAAAATCATTTACACACTAACATCCATCTATACAGGAAAACTCCCGAATGGTTTTTTATTTATTTTTGCATTCGTCGACATTTGAAAGACATCTGAGTCCAAAACATGTAAAAATCTTAAAGGGGTATTTTAGAAATTAAATCAAACGTCATACTATCTCTCTGATTGCAAAAAGGGGGTTGCAAGAGTAGGTTTATAGTCGTTATAATGGAAAAAGACATACATGAAAAATATTGGAAGAAAAAGCATGTATTTTTATGTACAAATTACCGTATTTTTCCGCAGATAAGACGATCTTCAGATAAGACGACATACATTTTGTCCTATAAGATGACCCCCAAACTATCAACGGCCTATGAATTTAGTTCAGATCAATGATCATCATCTAGATGATAAAATGTATATCACACATGGAACTATATCTTATTCTTAATTTTGGAATAAATAAATTTTATTCTCTTGCAACTGATGATGTATGTGCTATTTAACTACATTGGTGAATGATTTATTTTGTGAGAGTCGAATTTATTAGAATAAATTGTTAAATATTTTTTGTACGAGGAACAGTTTAGAGAAAAAACCAACAAACCGATATTTAAAAAGAACATAAAACTTTTTTCTCACGAACTTAATTCTATGTTGAAGATGATACATCCAATGTGTCACCCGGAATCTACGAAAAGACGAAAGAAACAACTATTGGACGGAGGCAGTGGGAAAAACCCAAAGACGCCCCCTTTATAAAAAGGAGGAGTCGATGCGTAAGAGTGAGTCTCTGGAGTTTGATGTGAACTGTGCATTACGTGAATGGATTAGTCGCTACCAGGAACTATTCTAATCGCCGCCGTTCGGGAGGATCCCTGCCTAAAGAAATATCAACGTTCGGAAGAACTTTGTGCCAATATCAACGTTCGAAAGGACATTGTTCCACATAGAGACTCGATGACTAAACGACTATTTGCCGACTTATATCAAGGTATTTATCCACGCGCGAAATACATGTGAGCTCTCTCTCATTAATACTGGTAATTGGGAGGAAGGTAGATATGTTAACTGAATCGATTGTATACAGCTTAAAGAAAACAATAAACGGGCATTATGTATAGATTATGTATAGTGAAATTCCTCTGATTCTCTTTTTACGCCTCCATCCCGGAACTAAGAGTTCACATACGCGACTGCTCGCGCGTAAATTCGAACGTAATGGTCTCTGTGTCTACCCAGAAGACACAGTGGTGTCAGTCCTGATAAATTTGTCATTGCCGTCTTCGCCGACGCATTGTCGAACCTTCGGTCCTGTGGTGCCAAAGTATAGAGGGGGCCCTTCGGCATTGTCACAATTTTATTTTGTAATTGTTTTAATTTATATAAATTTTAATCTAGTCTTTTTTAATATCTGTCCTATAAGACGACTGTAAATTTTGGGGTTTTTTAATGACGAAACTATCGTCTTATCTGTGGAAATACACGATACATCACAAATAAGGAATACGAACTAATAAAAGATTAAAAAATAATAATAATAAACACCGAACATTTTTTACTTCTGAGATTCTTAGCTGTATACCTACTTTGGCACCTCTCTGTATATAACAGCCAGAAAATAACACTGTAATTTCAAATATCGATTTTAATATTGAACGAAGCTGGAAATTTTAATTATTTTTTACAAATGTTGATTCATTCAATATGATGTTTACAAAAACTTCAATTAAACGAATTTTAATGTATTATAAACATTTTATAAATTGCTTTTATTGGGAATGTTTTTTGAAATTATAGGTAAGGAATTGTGGGATGACCTGAATTCTATCTGTATATATTATTGGGATGTACAGTACAGTAGAGAACATACAAATAACATGATTAACATTCTTATTAAGTTGTGTGTAATAAGATATGGCTTATTAAAAATAGTGAAGTGTAATACTCTATTAGACTATTATTGCAATTCTTTGTCATTGGACCTATGCTTTGTCAAAAGTATTTTATCACATGAATAAATTTCTTGTGTGCATGTCAAGTTGCTTTTGCCGAATTACGAAAAGTCATTAATTTGGATGCAATGTGAAAAAATTTAAACATATAAATTTCCAGTGTTTCTTGTTTATCCGTTTTTCTATTTTTTATTAATCTCGATCACAAAATAAGAAATACAATATGACTTATAAAGAGTCTTCAAACCACAGTCTCAATCAACTATAAAAGTATTTCCTTAAGGAAAATTTACCTGTTTTCAACATTATGCTTTTCACAATTTCATAAGTAACAATATCGGAGTTTCTTTTTACTAAAATATTATAACAGATTGCACCACTACAATTTATAATTTTTTGTTTGAAAATTTCGCTACTTTTTTCATTATTTTATAGATATAAATTATTAAATTAACGAATACATATGCATATATATAATAAGATAAACATTTATATAATATTATATATTATAGAACAAATAATGAAAAATACACTCAGTGGAAGCTTGAAAAAAATAAAAATCACGGGAGTGCCTGTAAGTTTTTTTTATTTACCTTATGAAATATTTTTACAAAATATATCTTATTTCCGTTGTTATTATATATTTAGTTATCTCCTTATTTAAAAATGAAGAAGATTAATAACACAGTAGTTTTTGATGGTATCGATTTTAAATTTCTAAGTTCAGTCATTCAAAATTTAAAAAATGTTCAGTAAGTAAATTCATTATATTTCTAGATAAAGTTATATGATAATATACAATTTTATAAGATATTTTACACAGATATGAAATTATTGAACCTGTTGAAAAAGTATTTGGAATTAAATTAGACAACGGCTCGTGGAATGGTTTAATTGGAAGAATACAAAGAAAGGTAAGAATAGTAATAAAAGTTCAATTAAATTTGTAAAATTAATTATAACTATATACAATATTTCATTTACTTATATAAGGAAGCTGATGTTAGTGCAATCTCGTTATACGTGACGTACGACAGATTTCAAGTAGTAAAATTAACAGCTTGTGTTAGTGGTAGTAGAGTCCTATTTGTTGTTTCTAGACCTAAACAACTGTCAAAACTAACAACAATAATAAGGCCATTTTCATTTGAAGTGAGTAAAGTTTTTTTTATTATATATATTTTTACTAAAATTACTTTCGTTTAAAAAGAATCCGTGCATGAAATAAACGAAAATTCTTTTGTACGAGAATGTTCCACTTGGCTAGTTATTTCGGAAATATCTGTACGCGTCATTCTGTAACCGCCTCTGCATTGTAGTTCCAACCGAATGAACAAAAATATTTTAAAAAAGCTTTTGTATTGTCAAATATCTAATTTTTAAATTTTTCCAATAATACGAATATTTCAAAATCATTTGCAATATTAATGACCAATCTGCTTTTATTTAAAGTTGAAGCTTTTATATAGGGAAGACCGGGGCAACTTCGGCATACGGGGCAAGTTTGTCAAGCGCTTTTTTTTAAAAACAAATTAAAAAGAGACTTTGGTTATAGGTTAGGCAGTTGAGTTTTATTGGTGGCTTGTTGAGTGTAATGTTTTTATTGTTCTCCAACAAGCGTAGTTGAATTATCAAGCAATTTTTTTTTTCGTTCAATTCCATATAATATTTTGCTTCCATTTATATTGAATTGGCAGGTTTTGTTATAATTCCATGATAACGAAAGTTACTTTTCCTGTTAGAAGGATGTAACTTCAACTTATTCACGTGGCCAGATCGTGGCTTGGCATTTTGTTCTCAGGGTTGTACATAATGTTTCGAAATCATGACTAGCGGGGTAAGATCGGCAACATAAAGCCACATTAGAAACAAAGGATAAAAATCAAACAGATGATAAATGAAAACATGTTTGCATTTGTTATTCATGTATATATGTCTTTCAACTTGCATTTCGTTGTAATAATATTAAATAAATGTTGGATTTGTATTTCTTTGTTTTAATAGTGAATTCCAAATTATACATTGTTAATAACATAATTTTATATACGTGCCTATCTTGCCTCATTACTGTTGCCCCTATACCAGGGGCAACTTTAATAAAAACAATTACAATAATTACAACTTAACAAAAAGAGAGAAGTTGCCGAAGTTGTCCCTATACCCGGAGCAACTTCGGCAATTTCTTTCTTCTTGTAAAGTTGTAATTATTTTAATTATTTTTATTTCCAAATTGATGTTAACCAGTTTTATAGTAAGAAAACATTCCAATAGACAATATGCAAAGCTTTTTTTCAGTTTACAGCAGTACTTATTACACAAAATTTAAGTAAAGCTTAACATGCCGATCTTGCCCCGGTCTCCCCTATATCGTATTTAAACATCCGATGGAGTATTGAAATGTTTTCGTAATTATAATTCGTATATTTATTTTATTTTTTGCAATTTTATTTTGAGAATAATGTTAGACACATAAAACATTTGAACAAATTTAAAAGCGTTGAAGCTACCGTGGTCCCGATTAACTATATACAAATTTCAGGTACAAACCGTTGTTATATTATCTCAATTCAAACATTTTCATTTGAAGGGATATTGACAGATGACTGGCAAGAATCTATTGTAACAAGAAAACGATGGTGAATAGGGACAATACACTACAGTACACCTTTGAGGTAGTGATCATACGTTTTAAATTAAATGAATAAATATATGATAAAAATTTAAGCTTAGCACTGCGATGTAATTATTATAAATAATTGCTCGTTTACTTTATTTATTACATTTTTTATTATGTCTTTTCTTATTATTTTCTTTCCTCGTGTGATAATTATATAGAAATGTACTGGAATCGTGTCGACTTTGACTTTTTAAATTTTTTACATATCTGTATGATTTTAGGCGGTCTGTATTTAAAAAGGCAAAAACCGACAAAAATATTGTGTGGATATGTATGTGTGAGTTGGTGCATATTTCGCATAATATCTAAAAAAATATAGAGACTAAGAAACGAGATTTGGATGGGCTTGTACATGAAAGGAATTGATACTACTTAATTTTGGTAGTTAAAGATTAAGAGAGGATAGAGATAATTCAGTTTAAAGCGTTATATATCAAGAGTGGTAAAAGCTAATTAGAATTTTATTTCTTATAAAATTAATACTTATTTATAAAACTCATGCCCACCCATAAAATTAAGGATTTACCATTGTATAGTAGTTTAGTATAAAAAACTTTTTCCATTATATTTTGAAACAGATGGCGCAACGCGTAATTTTGTTTATTTTATTTAATGATATAAAATATTTTATTATAAATAAAAACTCATATCAATCATAAAAGTTACACAACAGTCATTGCTTAATTTTTTATATTTTCATCGATAATTTTATAAATATCTCAAAAAATTTTAATATATTAATAATAATTCCAACACAGTTCATTTGTCTATTCTATGAAAAAATTCTAAACCTATATAATCTCACTGTTATCGGTTTGTCTGCTTTTCTGTCTGATTGTCTGTTCTGAAACTCGAGAACAGAGTTAAACCTATAAAATTCAAAATAACGTTAAAAAGTTTAGTGGCGAGAGATCCAGATATCCCATAAAAAAGTCCCAACACAAAACAAAACACAAGTTACTTTTATTTAAATTCTGTCACCAAGAAAACAGCTAGATAAATAACAAGCAGTTGCTATCAGGAAAAGTATAACATAGAAGGACAAAACTTCACTAATTTGAGGTAGAAAGCATGTCTAAATTAATAAACTTAAAATATAATTAAAAATTTCAGTCCGGAATCGTAACAATGCCACAATAAATAATTGTTCATTCATACTAATTCTTTTCATTATATATT